ATTAGTGGAAGGAGGTCTCTGATATTATAAAAGATTTAAAGGTCTAGATAACATGTGGTCTTGTTGGCAAATGGTATTGTGTATGCTGTTGTTGGTGAGTGAGTGGTATTGTGTATGTTGTTATTAGGTTTGAATTTGACAACAATCTAATTGTAAATATTGGTTTTTAATATTGACACAAATAGTAAGAAGTGTGATAATCTTATTGTAAATCACATTGAGCCTAGGTATCTTTTTTGCAAGGTAACTCAGCACTTTGCAGGTTATAGTGCAAAGTCTTCAAACCAAACTAGAGAAAAGTTGAAACAACACTTTATAACGTCTCCCCAAATGAATATAATGATTTTAACTTTTAAAAAAAATTGTGAGAAAAAGAAAACAAAATTCTAAGAGAGAAGAGAAAATTCTTCAAGTTATGGGAAGAAAAAAGGAATTCAAAGAATGAGTATTGATTATTACAAAATTCTTTAAGTGGATCGAAATGCAAAAGATGAAAATTTAAAGAAAGTGTATCCAAATTCCTTTAGTTTTTTTTTATTAAGGTTTTTGAAAGAGAAAATAAATAAGATATTATTTTTATAAAAGAGGGTATCTGTATCTAAAATATTTATATAATATTGGATTGAATTTTCTTAACTATTGACTAACAATTTTAACCATCAAAATATCAAAAATATTAATTTTAAATAAAAAATCAAAGTATCTTTTTAAAATGATTAGAGAGAGATTTTTAGAGTTTACCCTAAAAATTAAATATGGTCAAAAGACTTATCTAATACTTATATTTTTCAATTTTATTCAATTTAGTCTCTGTACTCAAAATTAAAATAATTTAATCCCTTGATTTTAGAAATTATGTTAATTAGTCCCTCCTTCTAACAGCATCTAATTTTACCGTTAAAAGATGATGTCATCATTGATGTCAACGATGACGTTAGCATTGACATGTTGCTTTTTGATGATGTGTCATTGAGATGATGATGTGGCATGCCACGTGGCATTAAGTGATGGTGTGGCAATGTCACATGACAATATACGAGGATGTGGCAGTGCTGACATGGCATTAACATGATGTCAGTGCCACGTGGTAGATAAAAAAAATTTTCAAAAAAAATTCTGCCTATCATAGAGATTAAAGCGACAAAAATATATAATACAGGGGCTAAATTGAACAAAATTGAGATGTTTAGATATTAAATTGAAAAAAAATCTGAAAAATACAAATCGTTGAATAGATTATTTATATGTTTATTAATAAGTCAAATATTTAAGTGTAAAAGATTTATGATGCTAAAAAATATATAAATATTTTCTTAATTATTTGATTCTAAAATATGTAAATTAATTTACCTTTTTAAAAAAATTAAGTTTGAATTCTCCTTTTATAAAAAAAATTTAAAAAAATTTTATACTTTAAGTCAAATTTAGATGAATAATTTTTATTTGATTAAAATAATATAATATAAAATGACTAAATAAATTCTTTTTTCTTTTATTTATAATAGTATAAAAATTTAAAATTTATTTAACTTAGTTTTTAACTTGAGCTTAAGTCAAATAAGTAAAATATGTTGATTTAGTTTTTTCTTTTAAAAAATGAAAAATGAATACATGGAGTTAGCGATAATTATAAAAGTAATTCCTCGTTTCGACTTACTTAATTTGGACATGATAAACTTCTTGTTACAACCATAAAATATGAGCTCCACTCTTTCAGTTATTTATTTATTTTTTATGTTTTTCTTTTATTTAATATTTCAAGTTATATTTTTTAAGTTGAAATTTTTTAGATTAAAAACTGTATTTATGGTTGATAATGTTAAATATAACTATAAATATTTGTACCATTTTATTTTATTAATAAAATTTTTCTAGATCCAAATTAATAATTTAAATTTAAATTTAGTAGAATTTGATTGTGGTATTTGAATTTAAATAAAATCGTTTTATAAGAAATTTTGAGTAAATTTAAATAAAAGGTAAATTAGATAAGAGTTGAATAATTTTCAAAGAATGTGTATTTATAAATTGTGAAAATTGTAACTAAATCAACATATTTTGCTAATTTGATTAAATTTAAATAAAACGTAAATTGGACAAGAGTTGAATAATTTCAAAAGAATATGTATTTGTAAATTGTAAAAATTATAATTAAATCAACGCATTTAGTCATTTTATATTATTTTATTTTAATGTAATGTAAGTTATTCATCTAATTTTGACTTTAGGTATGAAATTTTTTCGAATTTTTTTTATACAAGGGGAATTCTAAGTTAATTTTTGTAAAAAAAATAAATTAATTTACAAATTCTAAAATTAAAAAATTAAGTAAGAAAATATTTATATATATATTAACACCATAAATCTTTTACACTTAAATATTTGACATATTAATAAGCATATTAATAATCTACTTAAAGATTTGTATTTGTTAAATATTTTTTTCAAGTTAATTCCTCATCATCTCAAATTTGTTCAATTTAGTCCCTATACTATATATTTTTGTTCACTTTAGTCCCTATGATGTGGTAGAATTTTTTTTTAAAATTTTTTTATTTACGACGTGGCACTAACATGCTTACATGTTAGCACCACGTTAGTACTGTTGGTCCCAAAGAGTGTGCTAGAGGGGGTGAATAGCACTTTTGGAATGACACAAAAATTCTTTCCAAGTAAAGAGCT